AGCGGCAGCAACAGAAGTCTCATGGCCACATTCATGGGCTTGACTGATCCTCGAGGTGCTGGGGCACTTGCAAAACTGCTGCGAAGTATGCTCAGGCATCAGTACGTATACGCACAGTCATCTTTCGTGCAGCCACCCTGAGCAATTCAACTCCGATGTGAGTCATGCATGGGGCAGCGCACACATACGCAGTCGAGTCCGAGCCCGCCACGGGGGCGGTGGGGAGAGAGGCTTTGCCCCTTGAGCTTTCACCTGCCAATTCATGACCGTGGCAAAGTGAACAGGGAACGCGCAGGCGCAAATCTAAAGCCATGCGAGCTGAAGCGCAGGAACGTGTTCTCCAGCAAACGGTTTGGTGGTTGACGGCGCTACCTGTCTCTTGTGTTCTTGATGGCCACGCAGGGACAAAGTGTCTCCAGCGACGCAGCACGCAACATGTGCCGCCATACATATGGGGAACCACGCGCAGCCAAAGTGTACATCCCAGGCTGCCTCCCAGAGTTTCTTGATCTGCACAAAGTGTTCCTGACTTGTCTCAGCACACTTTCACCCGCAGCCGATCTCTCTGAGCGCTGCGCCATTGAGCGGGATCTCGTGGCGTCGTCTCCACTTGGCTTGGGCCGGCTTTGGCAGGCGCGATGCGGCTTTTGCAGTATTGCCATCGTAGTACTAGTACTGCTGCTGGCGTGCTCACTGCCCTTCCGGTGGGTCAATTGGTTGCAATTACGTCTGGCGCGCGTGCCTCTTGCCAGGCTGAACAGAGTGTCTTTCCTACGTGTGCATGTGCGCACAGCACCGGCACGTGACGCGGCTTCTGAAGACCCTACCATGCAGACCACAGCCAGGGTGATGCGAAAAGAGCGCATCGGCCGGAGTTCGGAGTCCGGCAGCAGGTCTCGATACGGCATGACACCGTTGTGTCAGATGTATAGACACATCCCTTGCTTTTTTTGCGCAAGCTCCCGCATGACCCGAGGCTGTACAGAGGACTTTGGGCGACGGGCTCGCGGCAGGCTAGGCACTCTCAGAGCACATCTTGGAGCTCGCCTCCGAAAGCGATCGAAGAATGCGAAAGAATATGGGAATTTCCGAAAATTCGGGGTAC